ACTTTCCCTCCAACCTAATACTTTGGGTAACAAGGGATCTGGTGCCACTCAAGCCAAAGTAATCCCGGCTTACACGAGGAGTCCCTTTCTCCTTCCCCCCTCAAGGCGAACAGCGCCCTTTTTTCAGCTAGCAGTAAGCAGCAAATGTTCCACGGTCAATAGAGTGACGCTCAAAAGAAAAACTATCGAAGTATACCCGATTACGGTAACCTTTGCTTACCCATGCCATCACTATCAAGGTATCAGGTAGATTTGTCAAAGGACCCCATTGCTGTCCCAGGTAGGCCAATTTAGATTCAACCCCTCCAGTTCCTTCCGAATTTTCGCAAGAAAAGTTATCGATCTTTGGGAACAAGGGAGGAATGGGCTAGAGGTGTCATACAAGAGCAGAACCGACTACCATCTCTAGAAAACCTATCCATCACGAAACTTACAGCACCGTTTCCCTTACGTGAGAACCCTCCTAAAGCCAGGTATGACCCCCTGCCATTCGAACAGCCCCTACTTCAAGATTTCCGAGCCCATACCGAGACAGGATCGCTGTGACTACCAGAACCGTAGCTGTTACCCACACAGGTATGGTTTAGGTGAACTAAATGACCTATTACTGCTACAGATACCACTTACACTTTATACAAATCCCCACTCTTGGAAATCGCCCTTGGTGCCTCGCCTCCTCTTCTTGACACCAGCCATGTGCTTTCCAGCAGGCCATTGTCAAAAAGTCCCTGAAAACTGGTTTGTAATCCGAAACTGTCAAAACACCGTAAAACTCCCAGCGGGAAAATGATTTCAACGTACCCGTAGTATTTCCGACACATCTTCTACCATACCCGGTCGGTCGCAGTCCAACAGTATACCACCTTCTGACATGCATTTACGCTAAACAAGGATGATCCGAAGGTTGAAATGTCGGAAATCGGAAGTCGGAACGCGATTTTCCACCCCAAACTTCTTTTGACTTGGAGAAATGAGCAAGTGTGAAAGAATTTCGCTCACCTGTGCCTCGGCAGATGTCAACGGCCGTATAAAGGGCTTGATACAGGCGTCTCCGGAGGATGTCCATGACGATGGGCACCGAGATTCATCTGGAAAACGAAATTTGGAGCAGTTGGCTAAGAGGGGGGGGCATTTTGCACTTTTATGCCTCCCGCTGTCG